TTCACCTAAATGTTATGTCCAGCTTCATTGCATTTACCCATGCTAAACTAATAAGCATCATTAAAGAAGACAATACGCATCCTTCATGTACTAGATCTTTAATTGAAGTATGTTTATAACATGTTCACATACTAGTATATATATATCATAAATTGTGCTTTGTGTGTTTCTAAACGTTTTGATTATTAAGTAACAACCAATGCTAGAGGTTTAAAATAACATTTAACAAAGTATATATTAAATATTAAACTTACAAAGTTATACTGGAATCTAAATCGACTTAATAAAAACTTTACTGAGCTATAACCAACACATGTAGCCTACAATCTAAACACGTTTTAAAAGAGATTATTAGTGAAAAAAAGAAAATCTGTGGTTTTTAACCCTGCCCGATATTTAATATCCATTCTTGAAATATTGAACACGTACGCGTATTTATAAGCTAATTGTTGTATCAGATGAATTAGTGGTCGTATGCAACATTTGTCAAACTGAGATAAAAAAAATATATCATTTAAGCTCAATAAAATTTCAAATAAGAAATATTTTAATAATGCTTTTCTTGTCTGAATAAAGATGTAATTATTCGTGGATTTTTTGAAGACCTCGCTACTTTTGATTGTTTGAATTCCTTTTATGTATTGAAAATTAAATCGGAAACAATATTTTTTTTTCTAGTTATTTATAAGAAGTTTGGGTCTGTGTTCAACGATAGATATATGATATGTTTTCAAACTTATAATAATTTAGAAATAACCCTAAAACTAATCTGTAAATTAAATAATTTGAATGGTCAGACTTCTCCCTATTCTGTTGACTGGTCAAAAGCTTCTGTAAGGATGAAGAAATTTGGAAAATTTAAGTAAGCCTTGGCCTCTCTCAAAGCTGTTTTTAAATATCAATGGGTCTTTGAACCAATTGTCATTTGGTGTTGTTCTTGGTTAAAGAAAACATCACACGAATGCCTGGACTCTTACTTCAGTATATTAGCATAGAGAGCAAAACAAGTTCACACTATTTTCTCTGAAGAAACATAAATTGTCTTGAATCTTAATATAGTGAAGTTGACCATAATGCAATAGTTGAAATAAAATACATATTTTGTTTAAATATGGCAATTTCTAAAATATAAACAAGAGTTTCTCGTTCCCTTAAGCTTGCTTGTATAACTTTTGCTGCGATCACATTTTCAGACTTGATCATAACTGCAATTGGTCGCATGACTTATTTGTCCAAGTTCTTCATATTCGTCATTACTTTCTCCCTTTCGGGGTTTTGTTTTAATTGTGTCTTCTTTCGTGGATAACTCATTTCTCGATTTTGTCTGAGATGATATCTGTCTACAGATCACATCTCTGAAAATCTTAAAATAAAAAAAAATCTTTAGTGTATTTGAAAAGAATATTACAAAATTGAAAGATATTTTGATTATCGATGAGAGATGAATGGAAAAAAAAGAAGGATATTATAATGTTTCGGATATACAATTAATGAAAACCTCTTTTCTCCGGACTTTTAAATTCGCTTGACTTACCAAAACAGCACGTCGAGAGGGATTATTTTAATTATATGTTACTACATAAAATGCGATTTACTTACTTGTCAAGGAAATAGCTTAATTCAGCTTAGAATACTTAAAAATGCCTTAAACTTTGTAATTTACCTATGATTATGAATAGATAATTCAAGATACATCTGATGGTATTGAAGTTGCTATTGTTTTGAAAAGAATAACCAGTCTGATCCGGAGTTATATTTCGCATGGTGTCAATAAACGTGGCTTATATACATATTGTAAACGTTTGGGAAACGAACAGGGTTGTTTCATTTTCACTATGTTCACGATATATCATTTTCCAGAGAAATTAGAACCAGAGCAAATAAGGTTATCAGATACCACAATAAAGCATATCATTATATGTTGATAAATAAGAAATATGACCTATCATTGGGTCTCATTTTGGCTGACGTGTTTCATACCAATTGTTAGGCCTTTGTTTTTACATTACATTTGACTACGGTATACTCTGTCTATCTGATCAATACATAGGGCTCACGGCGTGTGTAACTGGTCAACAGGGGATGCTTACTCCTCCTAGGCACCTGATCCCACCTCTGGAATTTCCGGGGGTCCGTGTTTTATGCCCTTTTCACAGATTTGTATTGTGTGTGTGTGTTTTTTTTTTCATTATAACAAGGCACAATTGAAATTAAAGCCAACGTGAATGGTACGCTTGTAACAAATCGGGAAATTTTAGCAACTTGAAACTAAAAAGACGATATTAATTTTCGAGATTAGGAAGTGAGAGATAGGAAGGGGATGTGAATAAGAAATAACAAGGGACTTTCTTGAATAGCGCAATATTTAAATAAAAAACCTACCCTCTTAGTGTCTGCTTTAAAAGATCTTAATAACAATGAAACGAAGGGCCTAGCAATTTATACGAGCAGCATGCAATCCACTGAAATAAAATAGAATGGAAAGGGTGCTAAAAACTTGTAAAGTTTTGTCCAACAATTAAATGAGTCCTTTTGAAGCTTGCTACGATATTGTCATTCATAGATGGCTTTATCCACTTAAGTATTTGAGTACCGTCTTATCGTGACATATAGTACATAGTGTAATCTTACCAGGCAATTACAATTCCGTTGAGTAGAACACTCAGGCATAGAACGGTGACTACTACATAAACAACAGAGGAAGACAGTGGCTTGCTTGATTCTACAATCCTTTCAACTTTTAAAAGAGAAAAAAAAAACTGTGGTTATGAACATGGCTGTTGGTTCCATTAAAGATATATGAAAAACTCAATAACAGCTAGTGCAATACTGGAAGCTATTGTTCCTAAAAATGTACAATGACCTTAAATATGTGGACAAAATCTCGAATACAAAAGCAGTGCGATTAATGTTTCTTTAGTAAAAAAGAATATGTACAATTATAACTCATCTGGTAATGCTACAATACATTTCCAAGTTTCTGATTTTTTTTTTTGTTTTTTTTGTTTTGTTAAGTGTCAAAAAAATTTGAAATTCCGTTTTTTTTAATAGAAAATAATTGTGTTGGACTGCATGCAGAAAACTCCTAAAAATTTAAAAGAGAAAATTTAAACGAAACACTTTATTGTTCTCATGAAACATTGAAGCATGCTTTTATGTGAAGTTTAATCGGGGTGAATTATAAAATATTTGGTTCAATAACATCGTAAAGGTCTTTAACTCGTTATCCTTATATAACCTAAAACAAATTATTAAACAAATAGAAAAAAAAAAGTCTATGATGTAACCTATAGAGGCGCATTGCATTTATTTGTCTTAGGCAAATAATGTCTGATTTACCCTGTTTACTTTTGTCACAAGTCCGACCAGTCCATCCTTTCTGACAACCCCCTATACATTGCCCAGTCAAACCGTCACAGCTTCCAGGTAACCCACAGTTTACGCTGCACTCATTCTTGCAATTCTCTCCAAATCTTCCCAAAGGAACTCTATTTACAGATAACTATTTAAAATAAACTTTATATTATATATATATATATATATATATATATATATATATATATATATATATATATATATATATATATATATATATATATATATATATATATATATATATATATATATATATATATATATATATATACGCTATGTATGACACAATATATACATCATATTTTTTCTTTCGTCCAATGCCCTCTATTCCTTTTCCAAATTTACCTTGATGACAGGTGCTTCCAAAATGTCCAGCAGCACATCTATGTAACAGATCCCACTTATAAGGTCACATTGTTGTCCATCTTGACATTTTCCACATACTCTCGAACACTGACGTCCATATGTGTTGTTTTGAGAAGCTAAGCATTATGTATGTCCTTTAAGCGTTTTATAAATAGATACATTTTATGAATATTTCCAGACGAATGTAATACAAACCGAAAAATGTCAATAATTAAAAATTTAAAAGCAGATGCAGATATGTACTGATCTTAGTTTAACAATGAGTTAAATATACGACAAATATACGTTTGCACAACTCTACTCTGTCATTCATCATAATGAATACTGGGAAATGATCATTTCTTGTAGAAGTTTAATTTGAGTAAGTTTTTGTTGATACCGACATCCACAGATGAAAAGCTCAAAGAAAATTTATTACCGAAGTAAAATCTAAAAAATATCCGGTAAAAAAGTAGTTTTTAATTCTTTCTCTATTCCTAAAAAAAGAAAAAGAAAATAAATACATCTTTCCCCCACAGCATTTATTGATATTCTTAATATTTTATTTTTTGAATTTTCAAAAATGTGCTTGTCCCCATAGACTTTAATACAGTCTTCATTGATTAATTACGGCTTAGATAATTACATTTTTGAAAATTTCTCGGGATAAATCTTTATCTTTCATAAAGTGTTTTGAATTAATGTCAGAGTATTTTATACAAGATGGGTATCAAAGGTTAGAAAAAATAAGTACAAATATGCGTCGGATACTTTAATCGTAATCAATCATAATTCTTATCCTTTATTTTAATTTTCAAAATCTTTTTTATTTTAATGGTGACTGTCTTTTAGATGCTAGATGCATTATGACGTCATTATTAATTAAATATTACATTTTCCAGTACATAAAGGCTATCATATGGGGAATCACTGTCTGGTTTTATGATGTAATCAAACAACTGACTTGCATGATAATTTGCATAAACGCATTTGTCTGTTTTGCTTCATGGAGAAATCGAACCTTTTTTCATTATTTGTAGTTTGAGCTCGGACAAGGAAATTTTACAATGTAATTATTGAATTATATAACAAATGAAACACTTCCACAGCATACCATTCAAAATTTTGCAAAAAGTAATCGAGATACCTATATTTAATTTAAAATCGTTTGAAAGAAGATGCCAAGAACATTTAGAATACCGTTTTTGAGAAAGTATGGGCTATATGAATATAAATTTTATTGTCTGATAAACAAACAACTCCTGTATTTTAATCTGGTTTTCTTTATTTCTAGTGAAAATGACAATGAAAAACACATTTTTAGATGTGATCACCTAAACGTTATATCCAGCTTCATTGCATTTACCTATACTAAACTAAGTAAGCATCATTAAAGGAGACAATACGCATCCTTCATGTACTAGATCTTTAATTGAAGTATGTTTATAATATGTTCACATACTAGTATATATATCATAAATTGTGTTTTGTGTGTTTCTAAACGTTTTGATAATTCGGTAACAACCAATGCTAGAGGTTTAAAATAACATTATACAGAGCATATATTAACCCTCTTTCCCGCAGTCACGCATCTTAACGCATATACCATTTCCTATTTCTAACGCAAAATCACGCATATACCGTTTCCCCGCAATCACGCATTTTCACGCACTTTCAAAAGTAAATTTAATCTTCAATTTAATGCCATTTCCCTTCTAATTTATACTTGCTAAAAAACTCATAAAATAAGAAATGTCATAATCTTATTAAAATATTACATCAATTATTTACGCTAACCTTAGAGAAACGTACCTCGCTATAAAGTGCTTGCGGGGAAAAGGTAACGTCATATTTCTATGACGTGAACATTAAGTGTATGGTGCGTCATAGTTCAGTAAGTTGTAAAGAGTTAAATATTAAACTTACAAAGTTAAACTGGAATCTAAATCAACTTAATGAAAACTTTACTGGGCTATAACCAACACATGTAGCCTACAATCTAAACACGTTTTAAGAGAGAGAGAGAGGTTATAGGTGAAAAAAAGAAAATCTGTGGTTTTTAACCCTACCCGATAATTAGCATCCATTCTTGAAATATTGAACAAGTACGCGTATTTATAGGTTCTTTAAAGAATTGTTGTATCAGATGAATTAGTGGTCGTATGCAACATTTGTCAAACTGACATGAAAAAAAAATCATTTAAGATCAATAAAATTTCAAATAAGAAATATTTTAATAATGCTCTTCTTGTCTGAATAAGGACGTAATTATTCGTGGATCTTTCAAAGACCTCGCTACTTATGATTGTTTGAATTCCTTTTATGTATTGAAAATTAAATCGGAAACAATATTTTTTTCTAGTTATTTATAAGAAGTTTGGGTCTGTATTCAGCGATAGATATATGATATGTTTTCAAACTAATAATAATTTAGAAATAACCCTAAAACTAATCTGTAAATTAAATAATTTGAATGGTCAGACTTCCCCCTATTCTGTTAACTGGACAAAAGATTCTGTAAGAAATTTGGAAAATTTAAGCAAGCCTTGGCCTCTCTCAAAGCTGTTTTTAAATACAATGTGTCTTTGAACCAATTGTCATTTAGTGTTGTTCTTGGTTAAAGAAAACATTACACGAATGCCTGAACTCTAACTTCAGTATATTAGCATAGAGAGCAAAACAAGTCCACACTATTTTCCTTGAAGAAACATAAATTGTCTCGAATCTTTATATAGTGAAGTTGACCATAATGCAATAGTTGAAATAAAATACATATTTTGTTTAAATGTGGCAATTTCTAAAATATAAACAAGAGTTTCTCGTTTTCTTAAGCTTGCTTGTATAACTTTTGATGCGATCACACTTTCAGACTTGATCATAATTGCAATTGGTCGCATGACTTATTTGTCCAAGTTCTTCATATTCGTCATTACTTTCTTCCTTTCGGGGTTTTGTTTTAATTGTGTCTTCTTTTGTGGATAACTCATTTCTCGATTTTGTCTGAGATGATATCTGTCTACAGATCACATCTATGAAAATCCTAAAATAAAAAAAATATATTTAATGTATTTGAAAAGAATATTACAAAATTGAAAGATATTTTGATTATCGATGGGAGAGGAAGGAAATGAAAATTAAGGATATTATAATGTTTCGAATACACAATTAATGAAAAACCTCTTTTCTCCAGACTTTTAAATTCGGTTGACTTACCAAAACATCAAGTCGGGAGGGATTAATATTTTAATTATTTGCTACTACATACAATGCGATTTACTTACTTGTCGAGGAAAAAGCTTTATTCAGCTAAGAATACTTAAGAATGCCTTAAACTTTGTAATTTACCTATGATTATGAATAGATAATTCAAGAGACATCTAATGGTATTGAAGTTGCTATTGTTTTGAAAAGAATAACCAGGAGTTATATTTCGCATGACGTCAATAAACGTGGCTTATATACATATTGTAGACGTTTGGGAAACGAACACGGTTGTTACATTTTCACTATGTTCACGATATATCATTTTCACGAGAAATTAAACCCACAGAAAATAAGGTTATCAGATACCACAATAAAGCATATCATTATATGTTAAGAAATATGACCTATCATTGGGTCGCATTTTGGCTGACGTGTTTCATACCAATTGTTAGGCCTTTGTTTTCACATTAAATTTGACTACGGTACATTCCGTCTATCTGATCAATACATAGGGCCCACGGCGTGTGTAACTGGTCAACAGAGGATGCTTACTCCTCCTAGGCACCTGATCCCACCTCTGGAATTTCCGGGGGTCCGTGTTTTATGCCCTTTTCACAGATTTGTATTGTGTGTATTTTTTTCATTATAACAAAGCACAATTGAAATTAAAGCCAACGTGATTGGTACGCTTGTAACAAATCGTGAAATTTTAGCAGCATGGAACTAAAAAGACGTTATTAAATTTCGAGATTAGGAAGTGAGAGATAGGAAGGGGATGTGAATAAGAAAAAATAATGGACTGTTTTGAATGACGCAATATTTAAAAAAAGACTAATCTCTTAGTGTCTTCTTTATAAGATCTTAATCACGATGAAACAAAGGGCCTAGCGATTAACACGAGCAGCATGCAATCCACTGAAATAAAATAGAAAGGAAATGTGCTAAAAATTTGCTTGTAAATTTTTGTCCAACAATTAAATGAGTCCTTTTGAAGCTTGCGACCAAATTGTCACTCATAGACGGCTTTATCTACTTAAGTATTTGAGTACCGTCTTATCGTGACACACAGTGCATAGTGCAATCTTACCAGGCAATTACAATTCCGTTGAGTAGAACACTCAGGCATAGAACGGTGACTACTACATAAACAACAGAGGAAGACAGTGGCGTGCTTGATTCTACAATCCTTTCAACTTTTAAAAGAGAAAAATCGTGGTTATGAACATGGCTGTTGGTTCCATTAAAGATATAATATGAAAAGCTCAATAACAGCAAGAGCAATACTGGAAGCTATTGTTCCTAAAAATGTACAATGACCATAAATATGTGGAGAAAATCTCGAATACAAAAGCAGTGCGATTAATGTTTCTTTAATAAAAAAGAATATGTACAATTATAACTCATCTAGTAATGCTACAATAAATTTCCAAGTGTCTGAGCTTTTTTTTTATGTCCAAAAAAAAAAAAAAAAAAAAAAAAAAAAAAAAAAAAAAAGGTGAAATTCCGTTTTTTTTTATAATAGAAAATATTTGTGTTTGACTGCATGCAGAAAACTCTTGAAAATTCAAAAGAGAAAATTTAAACAAAACACTTTATTGTTCTCATGAAACATTGAAGCATGGTTTTATGTGAAGTTTAATCGGGGTTAATTATAAAACATTTGGTTCAATAACATCGTTAAAGTTTTTAACTCGTTATCCTTATATAACATAAAACAAGTTATTAAACAAATAGAAAAAAAAAAATACAATTTTTAGTCTATGATGTAACCTATAGAGGCGCATTGCATTTATTTGTTTTAAACAAATAATGTCTGATTTACCCTGTTTACTTTTGTCACAAGTCCGACCAGTCCATCCTTTCTGACAACCCCCAGTACATTGCCCAGTCACACCATCACAAGTTCCAGGTAGCCCACAATTAACACTGCACTCATTCTTGCAATTCTCTCCAAATCTTCCCAAAGGACACTCTGTTTACAGATAATTGTTTGAAATATACTTTATATTGTATGTATAAAGTATATATATATATATATATATATATATATATATATATATATATATATATATATATATATATATATATATATATATATATATATATGTATATATATATATATATATATATATATATATACGCTATGTATGACACAATATAAACATAATATTTTTTTCCTTTGTCCAATGCCTTCTATTCGTTATCAAATTTACCTTGATGACAAGTGCTTCCATAATACCCAGCAGCACATCCCATGTAACAGACCCCATTTATATAGTCACATTGTTGTCCATCTCGACATTTTCCACATACTTTCGAACACTGACGTCCATATGTGTTGTTTTGACAAGCTAAGCATTAATTATATCCTTTAAACGTTTTGTACATAGTTACATGTTATGGATATTTCAAGATGAATGCAATGCAGACCAAAAATTTCAATAATTAAAAATTTAACAAGTTGATGCAGATATGCACTGATCTTAGCTTAGAAATGAGTTAAATACACGACAAATATATGTTTTCAAAACTCAACTCTATCATTTATCATAATGAATACTGGGAAATGATCATTTTCTGTGGGAGTTTACTTTGAATTGTTTTTGTTGATACCACAGATTAAAAGCTCAAAGATAATTTATTTCGCGTCTACTATATATATCTCATAGGGAGAAATTTATCCACAAGTTTACGTCCCCATAAACTAGTAATAGAAAATTGGGTAAGTTAAACCAATACCACAGTAATGTAAAGATATTCTTTTCTTTGTGTATTTTAACTTTATCTATAATCCTATATGATCAGCTGTTCCGTTTAATTTCAGAAATATAGATTTTTTAAAAACATTAATTAGTCAGATAAGATATAAGCAATACGAGACGAGATTTGTTATAAACACTTCCTTAATGAAAAGTTTGTTGTTGTTTTTTTGTCTTAGAAGTTCTCTCATTATTCTTAACGAAAACCACACGCTTTGATTGCGTTCTGTTGTAATTTACAAAATACTAGTTACGACAGACGAAGCTACCCTAAGTTACTGTTCCCGATGTAGCAGGAAGGCTTCGTTTTATTAAATCCAAGCCCAAAGGCATAACGACAAAATACATTCTAACGCTAACATGTTAATTATTTTTTGACAGGAATCAGGGTAAATATATGCATACCTATCCGGTTCATAATAGGTATTTATAATATTGAAATATACATATACATATACTTACATTGCTCGCATTCATTGCCTTGGTAGCCATCATCACATTGAAAACAGTGACCAGATGCTATGTGGCATCGATTGTCATGGCAGTTTGATGGACATCTTGAACATTTTTCTCCGAAGTATTGAGAAGATGAACAACCTTATTACCAATGTAAATTACAAATGTAAGTGTTATCACCAAACAGAAAGCATACCCTAATAATCACTGTAAATTATGTAACATGAAAAAATGGAAATGTTAAATATAAGATCTTTAGACCACACGCCACTAATATAATTTATCGCAGACATTTGATATAAAAAAGTGCTTGATCTATATGTTATGAATAATTTTTCTTTTTGGATGTCATTTACAAACCTTTATGCTCTATGTACGAACAATTTCTAAAAAGAGGCAAGCTATTGACAAATAAGTTGTTGAAACAAGGATATCAACAGTCTCGTTTCAAGTCAACATTTTGCAAACTCTATGGTCGATACAATGACCTTGTCAGCAAATAAAATCTAAAATTAAGTCGATTTTGACTTTTTCATACAAATTGTTAGGCCATTATTTTCAACAATGAATTGGATTTTTCAGTTTGCCCAAGCGTGACAAAGAGTTCAAGGAGGGTGTGACTGGTCGACAGGCTAGACTTACTCCTCCATGACACTTGGTCTCACCTCTGATGCTTTTTAGAGGTGTTTGTTCTGCTCCCATTTTGCATTGATTCAAAGGACTTTTAAGCCTGATTACTGTTCGTTATCCTCATAATTTATTTGGCCAACGTGCCATATTCATAATTTTTGCCCGAAATGTCGTTTACACCCTTTTTACAATAACACGTCATTTACATAAGTTTTGGCGAAATGAAAGTGAACATGACCTGATAGTGAACTGGAATAAAATATATGTGCCCTAACTATTTGCCAACTATATGTATATGCTATATATTTAACGGTACTGAAAAAAAAAATGAATGTCACTCCCACCCCCACCCCTCCTCAATTATCACAATTCAACATACTTATACTATCCAGAATAAAGAAAACATACATAAACACGTTCTTAATCTTTATCAATATGGAGATATCATGATCAAATTATACAAATATGAACGTTAGAATTTGTTTGGGATATTTCATTCCTAAAAACGTTATCGTGAAAGAGAAAATTCCAATATGGCAAGGCTATTTCTAATTATGGAACACAACTTCGAGTAGGTCCTTAAATCAGTACCGTCACGGTAGCTCAGTCGGAACAGTCCCCGCCTTTATTTTATTTGTATTCTGCAAATACATAAAATGGAGTTTGCTATGAGGTTTGACTGCATGGTTTTGGAAGGATTAGCTGCAGAACCGTAGCTCTGTGGTTGAGAAATTACGGACAGGCAAAATAAAGATATTATATGTTACCCTATATATAGCTATTTAATAAACATATCTGATTGGAGTTTGATAAAATTGGCACTTTATATCTTCAAAAACTACTATTTGCGGTACATTGGGTTGTTGATTCCTTCTTATTTTCCAGATTGATAGCCTCTTCACATCCTTAAATATTCGTCACATATGTTGCATATTTATATATATATATCCCCTGATTTTTTGGTTGTTGCAAAAACAAAATATTCGCTAAAATTAAACCTATTACTGCCATCGATTTCTTTAATGGTATATGATGACATTTCGATGGTGTCTCAGTTACAGTACCCGCATCGTTATTCTTTACAGGATACACGATACGATAGGATACACGCACGATACGATAGGATAAACGCACGATACGATAGGATACACGCACGATAGGACAGGATACACGCACGATAGGATAAACGCAAAACACGATAAACGCAAAATACGATAAACGCAAAACACGATAGTCCTGATAAACGATCTTCACGATAGGATAAACGCAAAACCTGATAGGATTGTTTCAAAATGCGGAGCGTTTTTTGACAAGACGAAAAGTTTCCTTTTTGATATATCGTAGTATGATAATTCTAATTACTTGCAAAGCCGCAAATCTAAATGATGAAATATATTAAATTTACCATGATAAAAAAAAATTGAAGTAATGATGCTTTGTAAAAGATTTTTTTTTTCGTTAATAAAACTGATCGTCCTCAATTTCAAACTGTAATTATTTAAGATTAATTCCACTCTATGATGGAAATTAGGCGATTGTTTGTGTAATTCTAAAAATGTCGAGATTCCATCGAATCGTTAAATTTGAATTTTGAGTCGTTGAATTACGTAGATTTTAATTTGTTGGAGGCTCAAAAATTCGGTAGACAAGCAAAGTTTTACACCCATGTGCAATAAATTCGCGAAAGGTTATAAATATATTCATTATTTTAACAAATAAAACCTTATGAAATTTATAACAAACATCGATTATTTTTACGGAAGAACTCCATGTAAAAAATGAAATACTTGGATTCAATATCTTGTGCTAGAAGTCTGCGATGTATCCAAAATCGCCTTTACATGTAATAATCTGTATTTAATAAATCAAATCTTACGAGAAAAATTATTAGTCATAATTAAGGGGGGGGGGAATTATCATTATAATTATTTTAAGGTTAACGCTTTCTCCTCAATTTTTTACGAATTTGCTTTAATTTATATTTTATATAAATTAATTTTATATTTATTACGTTTTAAACAAATGACTTGCTGAAATTGCATTGACACAGACTGTGCATTGGACTGTGATTAAATTATCTCTCCTATATATAAATATATCTGTTACACATATCCCGTGTACATAGAAATTATTTACATATTCCAAGTACATACCTTGTATATGTACATATGAGGAAGGAGGCCGACCGAAAGAAATTGAATTCAATAAAATTAATAAACGTCACTAGATCTGTCATCATCTACATGTACATGTAGTATCCGAAAAAAAATATCGCATTTCCATTCTTTTGTATTTATTCTCTGGTATTTCTAATGTTATAGACATGTAAGATTAAGAAGGGAGCGTGCAGACGTATACCTAAAAATGTTACAGTGTACCAACATGTGCAGTATACAATAGAAATATAATGCTTATATAATTATGCCCATCAACAACAATAATGTCTTTAACATCTTTTGTTTGCTTTTCAACACATTTCTTTTTATACCCCACCCCCCCACCCCCACCCCCAAAGAAATGAAATTATTTTCTAAGCCTGCCTGTGTTATAAACATTTACAATAACGTGATATGACCTTTATTATCATAACTGACAAAACAGTGAAGAGAAGATATGTACAATATACATTGTATTAAACAGAAAATATTACATGCATGAAGAAAGGATAACAGAGTGTAATATCAACCAAGAATTTGTATCTACTATAGACACATATATGCTACATTGTAAGCTTACAATGTGTGTGAATAAATTTATTGGGTACTTAAACTTTGTATCAAATAAATAACATTGAATGATTACATACTCTTGTTTACAGCATATTAGAACGCACACACAAATAAATTATAAATTAATTTTCACAATACGACAATTGGATTTTCGGACTGAATAATTGTAAATTATAGCTATTAGACTTTGTATTAATTGTTACAAAACTTATATAGGACAACTTCGGCAAAATTAGACAAAACTTTGTAAATTATGAAAATATTAATCCCACTTGAGGCACAGTCAGCAGGGAAAGGGGGAGGGGGTCCATAACCACTCAAAAAAGATCCAATTCAAACAGCAATAAATAAATAAATAAATGAATAAATAAATAAAAATATATATTGACTTATTGATTATTGTCAAATATTTAATGCAATCGATAAACTAATAAAATTAAATTCAAGGTATTTACTCGTCTTGTGCATCACGGCAGATCCGGGCTATTTCTTTAATTTTTTTTTTTACATGTATCTTTGAGGCGCCTTTAATTAAAAAAAATCGTGCGAGGCAAAGGTCGTATTTTTCTGGCAAGAATTATTTACCATATTCTTCGATGAATAGAATTTTCGAACAATTGTAACAGTTTCTTTTTGTATTACACAGAAAACCCGAAGATCCGGAAGTACCGCAAGCGCAGTTTTTTTTTTATTTGATCACACCAATCATGTTCAAGACCGTAAACCTATAAAAATTATATAATAGTATACAAATGAACTAAATCAACGGAGTTTGGGGTACAAACCTCGCCTCTATTTTATTTGATTCATTTATTCAATTATTAATCGTAACGGAATTTTGTACGTTTACCAATTTTCTTAGTATAAAATCTTTAAATGTTAATTGTTGTTCATACAAACAATAAACAATATCCAGAAAATAAGTAGATGCATTTCGTTGAAACCTAGGATAGGATTCAAGGTAAATACCTGACACCAGGTGAGAGAGGAGTTCAGGTATGTCGACGGTGAATACACACGGGCCGGTCATGTAGGGGGGAAAGGAGGGGGATTCTTGACCTGACAAGAAGACAGTTTACTGATTAGGCATGACTGGTACATATATGTGTCAGTTCTCTTGTCACGGGAGTGCTTCCACTTGTCATTTAGTTACGGTATATACTCATTTCATTTCCATGCCGATATAGTAATAAAAATTAGTATGGTTTTGTATATTTATTTATTGTTATTTTTTTAACATCTTCTAACTGCAGTAGTTAAATATGAATTGCAAACATCTATATTATAATATATAATTATCAAATGATGAATCGAATGGAGCATGTTCATGTAAAATAAATTGTAATTTAACTTGTAGACATATCACAGAAAGAAATAAATAAAAAGGAATAACAAAACTTGGGCGCATTGAAAAAATTTATGTTTCCGTAATAGACTTAATAAAGCTGCTGATATTTTTTTTTTTATTTAAAATTTATTTTTGCACACATACATGATGTATCTACTGTTTTATGCTTCTATAATTATCAAAACAAAGTTAATAAAGGTCTTGCTTTTGTGACTATATCTATGTAAAGGAATTGAAATATTTCTTTGACAAAAATATTTCTTACAAATCGAAAAATTAAAAAAATAATAACGAATGACTAGTAGATCGATTATTTCATGTCCCAAAATAGAATATGACTTTCGATTTACCCCCTCTGCTTGGTCACGGTACTTGACCTTTATTTATTTTTTTAATTAATTAATTAATTTATTTATTTATTTTATTTATTTATTTACTTATTTTTATTTAACATATATACCAGAGTTAGAGTATTAATTTCTCTTTCTGTTAAACAGTTAAATCAATCCTAAAAAAATTAACAAAACGAAAAATGAACTCGAGATATCTCGGGTTTTTCTTCTCACGGTAAAGATAAAAAACGAGGGTTTCCGAATGCACACGATAAACGCAAAACACGATACACGATAGAACCTGATAAACGATCTTCACGATAAACGCAAAACCTGATAAACGGAAAACACGATAGAAAACGCAAAACCTGATAAACGGAAAAAACGATACAATAGGATACGATAGGATACACGCACGATACGATAGGATACACGCACGATACGATAGGATACACGCACGATAGGACACGATAGAATTGTAAAGAATAACGATGCGGGTACTGTACACATTTCTTAAATTTCTCAATTACTCCAACACTTTTTTTATATATATAAAGGAAGTAAAACTTAGATAGGAGTTGTTATTTTTGTCTATTAATAGTCATTTTAAAACTTTATAATTCACTTTGAATTTAAAAGTCTGAAACTTCAATATTCATGTGTTCAAGTAATTTGGGCTAAGAATGGTTCTGCAGATAACTTTCACTTAGATCAAATTCTTGCTTCACCACTTATTCCATTTTAATAGTTTTAATGATATTTTCCCTCCCCTTTACAGAGTTTAAAGACATAACAAGTAAAATGTCATACCATACACTTCGAATTCACACAGCTCTCCGTAAGCATATTCTGAGTAGTAACTAGGATTCGTTGGTTTTCTTTCGTTATAGTATATTACGTAACGTCCATAATGAGTACAATTTAATGTAACAACAGCAGGCATGGTCGCTTTTGTAAAAGTAGCATCTTTAAAACATAAAACTCCATCACTCTTCTCTGTTGTATTAGATATGTAAACAGAAAATCCCAGAAACCGACCGATATGTCCGTTCCTTTGGTCTTAAAAGTGTAATATAGAAAAAAAAACATTCTGTTAAAATAATTGAAAAAGTGAAGTAAGTTTTAAACTCTAGAAAAAAAAAATTGTGCATAATAAATGTCGTCAACATATCCATCGATTACTGCATTTTTTCTATGTTTCATGCGTTAATCGATTTATAGTGTATTCTCGAAAGGTGAAGAAAGAAAGGAAATACAATGGAATAGTATGTGCATTTTTTTTTCTTTAATTTGATTCTAATTCTAGTATAACATGATGTATACGGATATCAGGACGCAAATTTTGTATACACTGATGGAAAAAGTAAGGCAAAATGTTACAAAGAAATCGTGTATACAACCGGCCTTCGCTGAAATCTTTTCTTAAAATAATGTACTAATATTGATGTAGTCTTCTCAGCAAGTAGTTTCTTACCCCAAGGAATGCCACCTGTCCTGTAGAAGATTTTAATGTGGTGTATGCCAAAAATGGCTCCAAGATCAACTCGCCAGGTGGCCTTATATTTTTTGTTTTGTGAAACAGAGCATTGTTGTCCGGAAAGGTCTGTTTTTCTACCATCCACAGCATACTCTGATTTGAAATAATTTTTTTCGTTTAGAAGGGGATACTCCTGCCATGTTGTTTTCCCAAGGGCAATGTTTTCTGAAGAGAGTGAAAATAGGTAAAATAGAATGCAAAGCAATAAAAAAAAATTGTAGAGGACACAATGTGATCACATTTGACCTATGTATTAGAAAATGTTATAGTATATTTTATTTAGAATATTTCTCTGCACATTCATTGCTATAAAGAGACGAACACGATCGGATACTATAACACATTCGAAAATATTCAAATCCTGATTTAAATAATAAGGAAGAGTAAAAAAAAAAATCATTATGTTGCCTTTTTTTAAAAAAAATAAATAACTTGGACAATAAAATACTATAGTTTTACTTACCATGACAATATGCCAGTTCTCCTGTCATGAACGAAATGAATATGATGAAATACATGACTGTTAAAATCCCTTTAAAATCGGTATGAATCTGCGAAAGCATAAAATAATGAGAGTTTTGCATTCTTAATGCATGTGCTTTAAAATTTAATGAACGAATACGGTAGTAATGATAAAAAAGCGTAGCTACAGAAAATATTTCAATTCGAACACCGTAAATGAATGTTAATTGTTTGATACCCAGCTAGTAAAACGAACTGTAAAATATGAGTCCCTCAGTTGGACATTGAAATGCTAGTAATGCTCGGATAAAATGTATTTATATGTTAGATAACTTACACTGAATGAATTTTCTTAAAAAAAAAAAAAAAAAAAAAAAAAAAAAAAAAAAAAAAACAAACTTTGCCTGCATTTTGCATTGTGTCAACTGACGATAATGGCTACTTAAACTACTTAAATCAGAAACAGCTTTTGTTCTCATACATTCTGTACGAGATTTTTTTTTTACTTTGGGGCAGCAATGGTAAATCCACCTTCCCTCCCTCCCCCCCCCCTTTTTTTTTTTCAAAGAAATCATCCTTATTATATTCATATTTGCTCACTAATACACATTTGATTAGTCAATTGATTTATGAACTCGTTACTGGTACATAAATTGATCAAAAGTTGATGGAATTCACAAACTCCTTTTAGAAATACTTCGTTAATTATATCTAAAGCAGAATGACTTTACTGTAGTATATTCGATAGCAATACTATCAAATATGGAGATAACGAACAGTAATCAAGCAAAAAAGTCCAGTGAAACTATAAAAATCTGGAGCAGACCAAACGAAGACCTTTAAAACATTAAAGTAGGGATCAGGTGCGATGGTGGAGTAAGCATCCCCTGCCGACCGGTCACACCCGCCGTGTGCTCCTTGTCATGATCAGGAAAACGGAAAAATCCGTAGACAATTCAATGTGTAAATAATGGCCTAACAATCAGTATGAAAAATAATATTATTCGTAGCTCTAAACGTACTTTTTGTACACTGGATGTTTTCTCTTAGCAGAACTTTGATCTACTACGTAAAAATAAAGATCCCTTACCTCATATTGTAACAAATGAAATATTTAACCAATCCTACCTTAAATGAAAAAAAAAGAAAGAAAATTCCCTTTTTTATGATATTGTTTCCAGAGACCCGTAAGGCAATACCGTCTTAAATCCAAATTCTTTGTAACGAATGTACGTCATTTGACAAAATAGGGAAGTATTTTGTTTATACCATCCGATTCAAATACGTCATCAAGCAATGGATCCCCTCATTCAATAAAATAATGAAGCAGAGACGATAAAGAAGGTCAAGGCCCATATCACTTTTTAAAAAAAGTTAAGAGGTAGAAGGACACGGGCCTACTTATATTATAAATAATTTATAATATAATATAGGTGGTGTTTCTTCAATTTTATTTCAACATCGAGTCTCATTTATTCCGGAAGCTTCAGGTGTAGGACGAAATCAGAGGGGAAAAGAATTATTATTTAAAATTGAAAATTCTAAAAGCTACTTCATTAAAAAAACCCACTTCATTATCTTCTAGATAAACAAGATGCGTCTAGCTCAAGTTGGAGAGTACTTGACAAAAATATAAAATGTACAAGATTCGATATTTAGGTTTTCCACAATTTCCTAGTTGATTGATTAATTGTTGCCCAACAAAGAGTCGCTAGTATTCCAGTCAAAATTTCTTATTCAAATGAAATTAATGTTATAATACATAGCTAAGGTATGTCAAGCGTAACATCAACTTTTACATAATGTTTTGAGTGTGCTCTTATTATGAATAGTATGAAAATCTCCATTCCGGAAGTAAAAATAATGAAGCACCCAAATATAAGAGTGACGTCACAATCGGATACCTCTTTATTTAAGAATGCAAAAATAATGCTTGATTTTATTTTCCAGGAAGACTTCTCTGTCATAAAACATTCCAAACCATACGCAATTAGCGATGAAATGAAAATGACAAAATAAGGTAAAATAGAAATAAAACGCTATAAATGTTTGTAAAATGTAAAATAAATGTACTCTTTAAACTTCCTCATTCATATTAATCACGAAGAAAAGCTTGGCTCATCTTTCAACATATAAGCAGATATGGTCTTACTGATCTGGCAAATTATAATACTTCATGAAATAACCTAAGTGTTAGCCTGTCGACGTCGCTCTCATATGACAAGTTTTCTTTGCTATGGTTAATGATAGAAATAAAACCTGAAAACCTAAAACCTAAATTAACTTGATAATATTTGAAGCATTAAATCAATGAAAAAGAATGATTTCTTTTTTAATTACTCAAGCAATTCTCTTGATGATTCAATAAAACATAGATTACCAGCAGATCTGTAGCTGTGTTATCTCAAAAAAGGATTGATGAGCAGATAGAACTGTAGTTCCAAACATTTTTAAAAAAGTGTTTATAATTTAGCACAAAACACATTCACATTCGAAAATTACATATCCATATTTGTAAGCTGTTTTCTGAAAATATTAATGGCCATTTGTTCCCTGCGTATTATTCTCTTTTTTAAGAAAGTGTTAATCGATTGATTGTATGTACTTTTACACTCCATTCAAAATTTTTTCCTTCGCTTAGACGTCACTAATACCCAATGTCATATGTTATAAACAACTCAGACAAAATTCAAATAGATACCTTAGCTTGCAATATACGTAGCCACGATCTGGTGACCAAAATATGAAACGTTTTATCATCATCAAAATATATTTCTTATATTTTTATGAATAAATGTATTCGTTATGATGTACAGAAACGTAAAACTCTACAATGTTATTGGCAAATTCTGATATTGCACTAAATATAAATTGGAAGGGAAAAAATGTGTTTTTTCTTTATCCTTTGAAGGCCGATGAAATTTGAACTTAACGAACAATACTGTGAATATTTTTGATTTGTAGAAGTCAATGTCAGTGATGGACGAATTTTTACTGGTTGATGGAAAATTGTTTTTGTGGGTATCTCGTATATGCAAAAGAGTCATTGATTGAGAGAGTTTGTTCATAGAGCTATAAAGTCTTGGGTAAGCGTGACAGGGATATACGTAGAATACAGTATATTAAATTATGCCTAGAATCTCGATTAAATGTTACTCTCAAATCTAATTTTTTTTGTTTAAAAATAAACCTTCTTTACACCATTTTGTAAAAACTTATTTAGATTTAAGGTATAATTAATTAAGTATTTATCATAAGAAATAAATTCTCATAGGATGAAAGTTTGCCATTCAGTAAACTGAAAGATTTCCGAAAGGTAACTGAAAGATTACTGAAAGGAGACTGAATGGCAGAGCTTTAACATTCAGCCACCTTTCCATACCTCTCAGTGACCATTCAGTTGACTGAAAGGTGCAGCTTCATCTTGTGTCTTTCAAAAAAGCCAGAAAAATAAGATTCATACCGATAACATTTCGTAAAATATAGTTTGAGAAGGAAATTATAAACTTCTAATTAGCAACGCATGCCTATTTTGACTGACAAATTACATTTGTTTTCATACTTGGTTTAAATTGAACATTTCGGAAGTAATTTAGCACAGTAAGCTTGGAAATGCTATAAATATAACGAGTAAATCCATGTAAGTTGTCACAGTTCGGAGAGGAAGTTAATGCGTGAATAGAAAATGGTTACACTTTTTATTAAATCTATGTCAACGAATTACTTGTTTAAAAGTTGGTTGCTCGTTTGATATCTGTTACTAAGCAAACTATCTAACATCTTTTTGAGGGGAAAAAACATTAATTGCATTATAATTTTACATTTATATACATGTACCTTATTAACGTGAAAATATCGGAACGTGCTGTTAATAAGAATTTATAAATCCATCTGATTATGATTGCACAGAAATATGCCGTGTGAAATTTTAATGCTTAGTTTTCAATTATTATATTTTTTCACTTATAAGTGCATTTATCTAAACGTATAATGCCATTTTTGAAATACCTTGGTAAAGACTCAAGTCCATACTGCATGTGATGGATTGTTTATTTTTACTGTTGCCAACGGAAAAAAAAAATAAACGACCTTTACTTAGAATACCGGGCGATTCATGCCAGGTTTTAAAAAGTTGGAAATCAATAAAATCCATATGCCAACATAAGAAATACATTAATAGGACAACTTTTTTCCCCCAAATTAAAACCAAAATATTGAAATCTATCTTCAATTTTTATTTTAATTCTTATTTACATTATTTTACTTAAAAAAGCAAGATTTTAACAAAAGTATCTTTTTGCGAATTTCTGCTTGTTGCGAAGTGATTCCACGTACATGTACATATATCTATTCTCAGATCAGAGAAAAACTGAAATCATGACAGATATGACAAATGTCGTTTATATCGAAGCGTGTTCAACATGCCCTGGTAGTGCACTTTGAATGTGTTTAACTATATTTGATTTGGGGGCAAGTTGTTTATATCAACTGGCAAAGGCACCGAAATAAAAACTAAATTCAAAATAAATAAATCGGAGACATGTAAAACTAAAAGATAAACTTTTGATGTAATACAAAAGCTTGAAAAGGTTGTACTAATTGTTATTGTCACTACCATTTTCCAATGTACTTGTAAAGGTTAAGAAAACAATTTCTTAAAAATGAGAATTTTTACAATTGAATAAACTGTGCAATCTGTATTAACTATTATGTATAATATACAATACATATATAATACACAAATTCTCATAAATATGCGTATTTGTAATTCACATAAATACTTATATCTGTCGAATGATTCATAAAAGTTTCACATCCATGATATTAGTATCTTTATATGAATTACATACTAGTAATCAATCTAGAAAAATGAGAATAAAAATGAATTCACTCAACGCAGCATTGTTATGGCGTACTACGAAGAAATCAACGGAATATAAACGAGCATTAACACAAACCTTTTTAAGCTGAATTTATTTTTGTAAAGCTTCTATATTATCACATTATCTTAATATTATTTGAAATAGCTCTCTGTATTGAATTCGGTTTGGTCACGTTATTGGAGAGTCTCGTGATAAATGTAATCTGTACTGTATGTAGGTCATGAACATATTTCAATATCGCAAGGGCATAGTTAAACCCTAGTTAAAATTTAAAATTAAGTTATAAATTGTTTCTACATATCTTGTAGTTTATGGAAAGTGCTGCTGCTTTAAATAGAATTGGCATTTTATTAGTATAAATTTTAAGTTATTTAGCTCTAGTCGAAATATCTGTGACCTTTACCAAGTATTTTATGTATTTATTATGTAATGCTCTCGATTTCTGGAAAGCAGCAGCACTTCTCAAGTTAAGGAATGTTTCCGTTATGTATATTTAAAAAGTGGTCAATATCTATTAGGTGTATGCCCTTGCGAAAAGCGACTTAATGAAGCACCTCGGCGTTTAACATGCAAATCCTGTACGAAAAATACGTTAGAATTAATTCAATACATTCTCTCGATAGTTTTAAAATAATGGTACTAAACAAGGGTTTCAGATTTGTATTAATGGTCTACCTAACATTTGCAAATAATATTCTGTTTGTAGCATGCAGTTTTCACAGTGGAAAAAAATATTTAATCCGACTCTCACTACACATACAATGCGTCAGATTTTAACATGTAATGTCGACAAGTGCTTTGCGATCAGTGATTTGTTTATATCTTGCTGTGTGGGATTTAAGTAGCGACAAAAAATGATTGTAGTGTTAGGTTTTGATGTGGTTCATTACTCTTATCCAGTTTAAAATCGCAAACTATTGTTGTTCTGAGGAATTGCTATGTTTGTGTGATGTCACAGGAAACATTTCCGGTATAATGTAGGTCCCGCCCCCTTTATGCAGCCTTAAAAGAGCTGCAAAGGAAGATGGAAAAAAAATCAAATGAATGTAAAACACTTAATAACATTACATGTGTGATACAGTATTACTAAAGGCTCAACCCTTGAAAAGATTCTTAAATACAGCAATTGTTAAAAATATTCTCTTTCTTAATGATAATAGCTGTTAGTCTACATTTTCTGCTTAGCTACATGTTGCAATAATGATTTTCTGAGTTGATATTAAGAAACTGTGGTTCGGTGTATTCTCTTCTACTGTATTCTTCGTCATCGAACTCAATCGGTTCTGTCTGTACCTCTTCAGACATGGCGTTTTGGGTACTATATAATATGCTAATGTTCTGCCTTTTTCTCTTTTGAACTGCAGCATACCTTAATGAATATTAATCTGATGCTGAATTTTGTATGTCAATCATTAGGTTTGAGTTACATGTATACAAGAACAAAAACAATCATTCACACACTGTTTTTCTCTACAAATTGTAAATATAACACAAACATTTTACCTTCTTTTGCAGTAGGCAAGTAACATGCATACATTTACTGACAAACTGACTGACAAAACTGCAACTGTTTCTGTCCATCCTAGATTTCTGCTTACTTTATGTTCTCGCACTAAAATTAGCAATAGGACAAATGTACAACGATGATTAAAAAGGATCCAAACAATTTCAGAATTTAAAAAGGAGATATTTCACTGTAGTAATTACTAAAAAAATGTTTATATACATGTAGGTATTACTTTCAAAACAATCCACGCCTTCCCATCCGTTTTTACATCCACCATTACAAAAACCACTGATTCTACTGCAGTTCCGGGATATGGAGCAAAACATACTGCATTCATGTTGACAATTCACTCCAAAAAACCCAAACTCACACTCTGTAAGGATATTGAGAAAATCCAAGAACATTTTCACGATTAGTTTTCATGCATAAATAAAAGACATTTCAACATCTCTCTCTCTCTCTCTCTCTCTCTCTCTCTCTCTCTCTCTCTCTCTCTCCGCAGGATCAGCATCAGCAAGCAAAGGATAAAACCAGCATTGACCTACATAAAATCATTATTATCCTACTAGCATCAGAAAATCAATGAGTTTTAATTCAGTAAAAAAATTAAAAAGAAAAGAATATTGGTTAAAGTATCCACATTATTGAGACATAGTGAGATATTATGATCAAATAATTGTAAAGGCACTTTTATTGCTTTAAACGGCAATGCTGAAATGCATTATCTACTTCCGGTAGCATGATGCTACTTCCGGTAGCATTGACCTAATTATAAAACAGCATCAGGATAAGGGTTACTAGCATAAAATCAGCAAGCAAAGGAAGCATTCAAATCAGCAAGCAAAGGAAGCATTCAAATCAGCATCGATGCTGTAACAAAATCAGTTTCCTGCACTCTATCTATCTATCTATCTATCTATCTATCTATCTATCTATCTCCTACCATTTTGACATTCGATCCCTTTGTATCCTGCCTTACATCTGCCAGCACAACCATCAACATTGTTACATTTCCCAAGACATTCTCCACATAGTCCACTACAATTGACACCATACCTTCCCAAGGGGCACTCTGAAAGAATAGAAAGAAATAGTGTATGGTTTATGTTATAAGGCTAGGTCTTTGTGAAAACATATAAACAATAATGTCAGTTTTACCTATGTGAAATGATCAAAATGTACATAAAAAACCAGGGTTAAAACCCTAAGAGAATTTTCTTCAAAAATTTTGGAGACAAAAAGCTGTCATCTACTAATAAACATAATTTGTTCAAACAAACAAGTTATTCTCAATATAATATTTCTCCCTTGAATGCTGTTCAAATTATTCAATTCATTTAAGTCATTTTAAACTATAAAAAGTATACTTCAACCTTCGTTACACATAATTCCTACAAATCCTGCTTTACATCCGTTTAAACAGTGTCCGTTTACGTGGTTACAGTGCCCAATGCATTCTCCACATTGACCTGTACAGTTTAATCCATATGTTCCTGGCTTGCACTCTAAATGAAGAATTTAAAGACAAAGTGGATGCAAGTATTCAATGTTTTATAGCTGATAAATGGAATTTATTTACTAGTATCTCACGAGTAAGTCATGATTTTTTTTCTTATAAGTGCAAAAGACGTATTAAATGGTAAAAAAAAATATTCTTTGCTATGAATGAGATTCACTCCATATCCAGGTACAAAACATTGATTTTCTGGGGGGGGGGGGGTTCTTTGTCCTCTTATCCTCTCGTCCTTTAACTCTTCGTAATGTGATTAAGGCTATGACGCTATAACTGACCACTTATAGGACGTCATAACTTAGTCCTTATTAGATTATTTTAAAATTAAATATCAATTTTAACAATAATTTGGAGAAACTTTGGCAGTTTTTGTCATTTTGAGATTGTTTTATTCACTCTTGTTCTCTATATAGAGTATGTTTTCTTGACTTTTTGCATAAAAGAAGGCGAATTTTGCTGCGAATTTCATATTGTCACTGTGAAAAATAACGTGCTTGTAGAACTATCAAATTATTAAATGGATAAATTTAATTATTTCACTGTTGATGATGCATAAAGTATTTTTTTTCTACAAATAAAACATAATATGATTTGCTAATACGCATAAACTGACGTCATTTATTAATATTTGTAGAAAACAAAATGACAAAAGCTGCTTCAAATTTAAAAATATATACATGAAAATGTATTTAGATTGACGATATCAGTGAATCTTTCCTTATATTTCGGAATACCATTTTAAGATCCTACACCAAATTCTCTTACTGGTTTGAAAATTCTTTATTAAAATCCTTGTAAATATATCTCTACTGCATTGTGTACATACAGAGATCAGTCGTAATTGTAGTTTAAGTTATTTGTATTCTATTGTGTATTTATATTTTTTCTAGTGCGTTAATATTTTTTTCGCAAACAAGTGTTTTTAAAAGGGTAAATCACATGAAATATTTATCCTTGTCCCTAGCTCAACCCCTTGATAAAACGATTTTTTTAGAAACGGGTCTTAAGGTAATTCGTAGTATAAAATCAATCGAATGATGAAAATGTACAACTCAGCCCACCGAATGATCGCAAAAAGGCCTGAAAAGGTGAATTCAATGGCAGAGTTATTCACTTGCAGAGTTTTGTCATTCATTCTCCTTTCTGTAAATAGTCAGTCACATTTAACTACGTGTATGTTCATCCTTTGATTACAGCATCAACACCAACATCAACATCCATACAAATGACACCGTGTACCTGTTTTACATGTCAAGCCCCTGTAACCATTCTCACATCCTTCTAAACACGCCCCATCCTCGTGGTGGCATTCACCTCCGCATTCACCACAATATTCTTCACAATCAGCACCGTATTGTCCTAGGGGACATTCTTGAGCGCAAAAATAAATAAATAAATAAATAAATAAAAGGAAGAAAAGACAAAAAACACTTAAGTTTTTATTTAAAGGTATATTGTCATTTACAAAATTTCTAAAAAAAAAAAAAAAAAAAAAAAAAAAAAAAAAAAAAAAAAAAAAAAAAACATCAATTAGAACAAAACTCCCTGTTATAAAAGCTTAATAGGATAGTATATGCCCCACTTGCCCTATTCGGATCCCATATATATCCCTTTGCATTCATGCATATTTTTTTTTTGACATATTTATCAAAATTCTTATGGAATGTCACAAATAAAACAACTGTTTGTGCGAAAAAATCATCACCTACTGTATATTTAACAAGTTCAACTTCTTATAATGTTTCTATTAGTAGAAGAAGTCTAATAGTTTAATGTGGTTATGGTAGTCTTAAAAAAGACCCTTAGTGCAAAAGGTTTAAAATTACAGT